CGTAGGATAAATGTACTTCGCGGGAGTGTATTCAAAAATTAAAAAACTTTCCAAAGCTTCATGGCAATCGTACTATGCCACAAACCTTCGCTGGAGTATATTAAACAACTTCCCAAAGTTTCACGGCAATCGGATAAACGGTGTGGTAATGCATGAATGAAACACACACACACACACACACACATTCATTTTTATATATATAGATAGATAAGGAATAGAATTAATTAAGTTAAATAGAAACACGCAGAGTAAATATATTTATTTAAATGATTAATCTATGAAGAGATTCTGAATGTAGACTACGATAAATTGTAAAAGTTCATCATCCATTTCGAAGAATGAGTGTGTTAATATTAATTAAATATAACAGTAAAAACAATAACCCGTTTTATCAAAATATATTCTCAATTACATCTAATTAATAAGACAAATTTTACTTCGGACATTAGGACTTGTGGAAACGGGAAAAGAAGTGGACCAAGAACTCGCTGGATTGACACCATGAAAGAACGACATTGGAATGAATATTGAATTAAATAACGCAGTGAGATATCGGAAGACACGAAGATCGCTGATACAGAAAATAGACGAAAGTCATCCTTGAATGAACGGATAATACAGAGACAATTAGACAATTTTTATTATAAATTTCTTTACATTTGTTCAAATTAAAGATTCCTTTTTTTTAAATTTTTTACATATAAAACCAAATATTTTTTTATTGATTTAAATCCGTAATTTATTATTATTTTCGAAGAAATTATTATTTAAAGATTACTTTCAGTTATAAGTACAAAAATGTGATATTTAATATTGAAAAAAGTTTTCTCGATTTTATTATTGATTTACATTGATATTGATACTTGACCTATATCACTGAATAGTGCATATAAATACAGTATACTCCGCTTATTGTAATCAATTTGAGATTCGCCTTAATACGGATTAAATAACACTAAAATTAGAAGAAATTCTGATTTTATTGACTTTGACATTAAAGTACATGTTAAAGTGGTTGAAAAATGTATAACTTGAAGATTTATTAATTATAATTATAAGTTAAGTTTTGGGCAATGCTAATTCTGATATTATTAAATGATTGTTTATAGTATCTATAATTACAATAAGCAAATTCGACGGTTAATGTTCAGGGTCGTAGACTGTCATGGCGGCTCTTCCTGTTTTAGCCTCGAAACCGGACCGCTTTGGAGACGACGTGTCACGTGACGACGCGAGCGAACGGGGAAAACCGATGCGCGGGTTAACGTCCATATACGTAGACTCATGGCGGCTCATCTCTGATTCCGCAAAAAGAAAACAGTGGGGACGCACGTTCTAACCTAACCTAACCTAACCTAACCTATTCTGATAAATTATCATAATTATTACCAATTATATTATTAGAATAGGTTAGGTTAGGTTAGAACGTGCGTCCCCACTGTTTCCTTTCGTTTGCTGGAATCAGCGGTGAGCCGCCAGCGCTGCCGCAGCGCAGCAGCCGCCGCCGTTCGCTCGCGTCGTCACGTGACACGTCGTCTCCAAAGCGGTCCGGTTTCGAGGCTAAAACAGGAAGAGCCGCCATGACAGTCTACGACCCTGAACATTAACCAATTCGACTGTATAAAGTTTAGATATAGGAATTAATAACATAAATTTCTAAATTATATTAATTATCAACAGTTAAAAGTTTGCTTAATATACATACCATCGTTTCAGTTTCGATTTTCTTACCGGTATGAACTTTATAAAGAATTTCGTCGAATTAAATACAAAAAAAATTCCCTTCAGCGAATTATCACAATAACTTTAATGCCAATAAAAAATCGATCAAACACCTCATTTATTCATGCAAATTACTTAATACATTAAGATATTGAAGAAAAAAGCACATTAACGTCACAAGTAAAAGCATGTTGCCAATATAAAAAAAAAGTGAAAAAGTTTATTATAGAATATTAATGAAATTTAATGTGATAATGTGAAATTAAATATATTCTTTGTTTAACCAAACATTTAAATTTTTTACATATTTCAAAGTTACATAATTATTTTGACACGGACTGATAGTCGGCATCTTTACTATAACACACGAAGGCAGGTGGCCGAGCGGTGTCAGCTCATCGCTCTGGAGAACCGTGAATGAATGCGGTCGGGTCGAAAAATCCCAGGAATTTTATGAGGATAGTCCGTCCTAGATATTCAGGCCTCGCCCCTCACTACTCGGCTGTTCCATTGTGGGCTTGCCGAACCTAGAAAGGCTTCATAAAAAAAGACATTTTAGTGTTCAGAGGGCGGAAAGAGCCGAATTTTAAAATTTATTATTATGAAGATATCAAATAACCTATTTATTAGCGAATTACCAGATAGAGTTTAAAATCAAAATTACTTTTACTCCCGTGGCTATACAAGTCAATGGACACATTTCCTGGGAAAATAAGCTTCAATAGTGCTGGATAATAAAGCCAATTACACAATTTATTTCATTTGAAACGGATTATACTACTGGTTGTTTATCAGCTGTTTTAAAACCGCTTTACCAGGCAGCGTGCCGAATGTCACTTTAACATTATTTTACCAGTAATTACAAATTTACTGGATATCCAATGTTTTTGACAGTGGTCGGCAGCCGATGCCGCTTAATTAACTGCCGTTTCATTACAATGACGATGCCGGATTGACATCTCTTAACTACGTGACTTCATTACATCATTATAAAAAATGCTTAAAAAATTGCGATCATGATTATATAATGAATGCTGTATTATGATCTCAGTTATAATGTAGATAACACAATTTGTGATCTTAAAGTTTTTTTTAATTTTTTCTTCCTTACAGATAAGTTCTTTTTTCCTGATGTTTTATGAGTTCGGCCAAGTCCACTAAAACAGCCAGTTTGTGAAGGACAGAGCTCAACATATCCGGGACAGATCACACCTGAAAAAACCCTGAAATTCCTGACTGGAACTCGAACCCAGGTCCTTCAGAGCGGCAGACTAATCCGACCAAGTTCCTCCCTGAATCTGACTATCCCACAATCGGACCTTGAAAGTCTGTTGTACCAGAATCGAAAAATGATAAAGGAGTAATAAATCAATGCTTTTCACTTTTGACTCTTTTCTTCCTGAAGATATCAAGAAGACTTTTTCCATAATTATGTGTTAATGATTAAATTTTAAAAAAAATGATTAAAAAGTTCTCTTAGTGCTTACAGAACAAAGTAAAAACATGAAAAAAAGTTTAATCTATGTTCTGAACATAGTATTATACAACGTATTTTAAATAAAAATGTTATAAAATGTATTAATTTGAGGTGCATGATTCAAAATAATAAAATATTTATATTTAGAACACATTTGAAAATTTTTATTTCGAATTTTTATTCGATATGAGCACCGCTAGAGGGATTTCTTTTTATATGCTGTGAGGACGAGGCACGAGGTTTGGTTCTCCTGTGAATCTAGTTTTAGCTTTATTTTAAAATATTTAATCTTATAATGTATAAAAACGCAAAATTACTTTCCGTCTGTTTAAGATGTCTTTCTCGTTTCGAAAATGCTAGAGGAATCGTTATTAAATCCGGTAAGTTATAATCTTATAAATGTGTAAATTAAATTTGAATCTTTAACTTAATTATTGCTATTTGTTAATGTTGAATTTTCAAAGGTAAAGAAAGGAAAAGGAGAAGAAAGATTTAATAAAGTTAAAGCAAAGTAATTTTACCAGGATCAAATGTTCAGGGCAAAACTAGGCTGGATATTTTATCTATACATTAAATAAACCTTATTAAGAATAACAGAGTATTTGGCAGATTGAAATGTCATTACAGTACAGAAGCAATTAAATAATTAGTTGGAAAAATAACCATTATTTTAAACTTAACAAAATGCAATTATTTTAAGTACTATACAATAAAATTAAGCTGTATATAACATTAGTTGCAAAAATTATTTGCCCACATACAACAATACAAAACTTATTTCTGTGTCTAATAAAGTCTTTTATTTAATGCAAATAAAGAGTACAGACGTTCAAAATGCTGACTATAAAATTAATCCAATAATTACTTTCAAATATTGATCAATTAGTTCCCAATAATCAGTTAACATAAATATCACCAACAAACTTGGAATTACAAATGTATTATACAAATATACCCAATTATTCTCTTTCATATACGTTGCTATAAGATTAAAACTATAATATAAATATTTCAATAGGTAAACATATTTTACAAAACTCTTTTAAGCTTTGCAAGGTTTATGGAACTTTGTTAATACAAATACCAATTATAATTAAACAAGATACAAGACATTACAAACTATTTCCTCAATGATATTTTAAAAATGAATAACTTATATTAACTAAAATTAAATTGCCACAATAGTTAATTTATTAATTTGCCCCTATTATTTGATTATTAGTATAATTTGGTATATACAGTAATTATATAAAACTTTAACTTAATCAAACTTATTTTTAAACACTAAAGCTTCATATGAAGCTATGATGAGCTTATTCAGAATTCAGTTTTGCTTTATATTGTAGCTAAAACAAAGTTAAACTACTAATGTATTTCTACTGAGCAGTTGATACTATAATTTGATTTCTACAAGCATCAGATTAGAGTATCATAGACTTCTGCAAACTATTATCAATAAATATTATTTCTAATCATATAATTTTGGAGTAATTAAAGACCTTCTTGTTATCTTGTATGAATGGCAACATGCTAACATTCAATATCATAAGCTTATGATTGCTTTATTTTTAGACCAATTGATTCATATATATAAAAACCACAACAGTAAACTGGAACGATATATATAGACTCACCTGAATGTCAAATTTCCAGCAAAACACCCAAATTCAACATTTGAATATTTTCAGCCACTACTTAATCTGCCTTCATCAGGAAAAGTCAAACAAAAATAACTGTTCTATTTACAGAATGTTGCCACATTGTACACATTGAAAACGTTTGAATGTTGAATTTGGATGTTTTGATTCATATATATGAAATTTCTTACATGATATGTTTACATTTTGATTATATAAAGCTCACTTCATATAATCTTGACAATTACTTTTAATGGGAAAACTTAAGCTGTTTATGGGGAAAGAACCATAAATACAAATATAAACATCCAAACCTTATACAGTAGAGTCCTGCTAGTCCAAACTAATTGGAACTGGGCTCTGTTGGATTAGCCAAATAATTGAAATAATGCAGAAGCAAGCAGTAAAACAGGTCTGATTTATATAGATCTAACATCATCAATGATTTGTGTTATTCTGTTTTTGTGTGTAAGTACAGTATAGATCTGCTATTTTAATAGGCCATGTCAAACACTGATTTATTAATTTTTTACAGTATTAATACAGTACTATAATAAAATACAGTTTTTTTGTTGTGGAATTCTAAATCTTTTTGTACTATTAATACCATTTAAACTCAGCTGGAAAATACAAAAAATGTATATTTTGTGAGCTAAAAAATTTCCTCTCCACCGATTGAAACATGTTTGGATTAGGCAGATGTTCAGACTAGCAGGACTCTACTGTAGTTATATATTAAAGCCACTAGAGGCAGATGTTAGGCTCCATCTCTTGCTAAATTTAATAATTATAATTAAATTAATATTTTAATAATTAATTTAGAATGTTTTAGAAGAAAAGAATCTGTCTGAGGTGGGACTCAAACCTGCAACTCCTTTATACAGTTATTTGCCATGTGATCACATGGTATATGAGAGTCCATGGTATGGCCATTCTAAATTAATTATTAAAATATTAATTTAATTATGATTATTAAATTTAGCAAGAAATGGTGTCTAATGCCTGCTTCTGATGCCAAATTATGTAGCATTTAATTAATAATAGTATAGGGATATTTCTATAAATTTCTGAGTGTGGGTCACCCACATATCTGATAGCTTGCATAGACATAGTATAGATAGATAGATTAGATAAAAAAAAACACAATAGCTCCAAGATCACTAGAACATATTATTGTGCAAACAGAATGTCGTAAAATACCACAGAAAGTCTTCTGTGGTATTTTACGACATTCTGTTTGCACAAAGTACGTTCAAAATACGACATTCACAAAGTAAAAGTCTTCTGTATCTGTCCAAAACATGCAATTTTCTTTTGGTAACTCTGCATGACATAGAGTTGAGTTTTTTGCAACAGTATACTCCTTGCTCCATGATTCCCTTCCTGTAATTTGTTGACCAGAATGACATATGCTTGATTCTTTTTGTATATCATTTTTGTTGTCTTTTCACATAACTTTCTGTAGGCAAGGATAACTATGATATAATTCAATGAGTTCAGTAAAAAAGTCATGTGACCATAGCTGTAAGTGTGATGTGTTCACTATATAAAAACCATTGAAAATAAAATAAAATTAACAATTATTTGCATACTGTATGATTTGAGAAATGACAAAAGACTGAGTGAATATGTCAGTCAACATGAATGTGTATCTACATGTAAAGGCATACTTGATGATTTACTAGAAAATAATGGTCTAGCTCAGGGGTAGTCAATCTTTTTATACCTACCACCCACTTTTGTATCTCTCTTAGTAGTAAAATTTTCTAAACTTCACCGTTTCCACAGTAATGGTGATTTATAAAGTAGGGAAGTAACTTTACTTTATAAACTTTATAAAGCAGAGTTACAGCAAGTTAAAGCATATAATAATAATTACTTACCAAATACTTTATCAGACTTTTGCTAAGTTTGGCAGAATAAATCTTTGTAAAACAACTTACTGTAGTTAAATCTATCTTTTTATTTATACTTTGCACACATAGAAGCATGAAGTCTGATGAAATTACATTTAATTAATTAAATTATTAACGAGATTCCTGAGGTTGATGCTGCAAAACTAAATACTGGATATCTGGCTCAATTTTTGTAAGGAACAAACAAAGGTCTCCTCTTTCAGAAATATTCAGGTGTTTTCTTTCTTTGGTCATACTATGATTAACTGCAGTAAAGCGTGATTCCACAAGATATGAGGTAGGAAAAGGTATCAATAAACTGAATAACATTTTTCACATATTTGGATATAAGACAGACATTTTTTTTATTTTGCCATAGATTTTCATATCCACCACTATCGAATTTTTGTTTACTTTTTTCATCATACCTAATTTCTAACAGTTTTTCTTGGCAAGTTGTATCAGCCTCTTCAATATTTGTGGTAATAGGATTTTTCATTCAGTTATACACCTTCAATTTCAAAATATCTTCAAATTGTTTTTCCATGTTCAATTTAAGTTCGTTGAGGTGGTTACTGAATCTGTCAATATCCTCTGGAGTTACATCATATTTTATAGATGATAATTCAGGAAACTGATGAAATTCTCTCTTCAATAGATTATAACAAAATAGTTCAAATTTGTCAATAAATAATACACAATACTTTGTCAACCTATAAGAGTTTTATTAGCTCCTTGAAGCTGCAAATTGATGACATTAAATCTATTGAAAATATTTGCCAAATAAAACACATTATTGTTTACTGTTTTTAACTGTTGACACAGATTGGTCTCATTATTACTTTCAAAAAATTGTATGACACTATCATATAATGCTGCAAAACGAGTCAAAGATGTACCCTTTGATAGCCACCGAACTTGTGTGTGCAAAAGTAACGTAATAAAATCGTTATTGTCTGCCACAGCTGTCGAAACATTCTATCATTTTTTGCATTGGATTTGATCTTGTTTACTGCTTGAATTATTATAGTTAATAATGAATGGAGACTTCTTCTTAGACGTTTTCCTACAAGATGATGTCTGTGCATCACACAATGAATACATAAAACATTTGACACTTCTTCCTTCAACAAATCCATGATAGAGACCTACCATTGATGGTGCTTCATCAGTAGTACATGCAACAATATTATTCAGAGGAATATTATTTTTTGTAAAGTATGATTTTACAGTATTAAGTATAGATAATCCTCTTGTATCTGTAATGAGATTTATTGCGAATAGCATTTCTTCTCGTAATGTATTGTTTTCATCAAAATAACATACATATGCCATCTATAAAGCATTATTATCTGCAATGATAGACTCGTCCAATTGCATGGAAAATGAAGAGTTTTGGAGAATATTTATAAGTTTTTTTTCAACATTAACTGCTATTTCTTCAATTCATTGCTTTACTGTGCTATTGCTTAGGGGCAACGTTTTTAAAATTTCAGGTATATTCTGATGCATTACTGTTGAGATAAATTTTTTATAGATTGTATTATTAAAGTTTCTTCAATATTATAGCTTTTACCACTTTTTATAATTAATTGTAAAATGCGATAAGTGGCAATTAATCCATCTTTGTTCACTGCATACTGTTTCTTAAATGATGCAACGATTGTTGAACAATTTTGAAATTTTTTATATATTTCCTGAAAATATTCAATGGGCTTGTCCTTATCATTTGGATGCTTTGTAGGAAGATGTTCTTGCAATCGACTTGGCTTCATTGTCTCATTGGAAAATGTTTTATGACACAATAAACACATTGGATGTTGTTTACTTACAACAGATTCTATGAAACCCTTCTTCAGATACTTTGCGAAATAGTTACAAGCATATTTCTGTTTTTGAGACATGGGCTCTCAATATTTCACAATGGAAGCCCCTTAGTGGGCATTCTAGCAGCAGTAGTGATTAATAAATAAATTATACTATTAATTTAAATAATAGCTGAAAATCATCAGTAGGGACACCCCCTAATGCGCATTCTAGGCATTCCATGACAGATAACAGATATACAAACCATGGGATCAATGGTTTATATAAGTAGATATGATGCTACCGTGTTTCCCCGAAAATAAGACAGTGTCTTATATTAATTTTTGCTCTAAAAAATGCACTAGGTCTTATTTTCGGGAGGATGTCTTATATTTCCATGAAGACGAATTCACATTTATTGTTGAACAATACGCTAAACAGGTTCGAGAGAACACCTTGCGACACATTCAACTTAACCTTTTTATAGTGTCCACATCGAGCTCGATGACCAATTAGTGCTTACNTTCTAGCAGCAGTAGTGATTAATAAATAAATTATACTGTTATAAATAAAATTATACTATTAAAATAATAGCTGAAAATCATTGCTAGGGATATCTACTAGTGTGCTTATTAGGCATTTCGTGACAAATATATAAGCCATTGATCCCACTGTTTGTGTAAGTAGATATTTTGTTTGAAGCTGTAAGCATGTGCTTACTCTCACAAATCTAACCATACTGACCAGAGAGAAATTATTGACTGTAGCCAGTCTAATGCTAGGAAGTGGTAGCGCCATTTAGTTTCACTTACGTAACATGAACTAAACTTATGCACGGGCAATACAAATAGTATATTTTCAGAAATTTAAATATAAATACTAAAGAATTTTATGAAAACCTAATGAAAATGTTTTTAAATAATTCTATGAAAATTTTTTAAACAATACTTTAAATACTTTCCATTTCAATGTTTTTAAAAAGTCAATTAAATTTAAAAAAGGAAAGTGCTTCAGTATTGGACAAAACCCCTACTGCCCACCTTGAAAGCTGGAACACCCACTAGTGGGTGGTAGAGCCCAGGTTGACTACCACTGGTCTAGCTGATCCGTTTTTTATGAGGCCATTCATCTTCATTCATTTCAAGTAAAAAGTCTGTTTTTCTGTCCACACACAATGTTTTGTCTGATAAGTTTTACCTGAACAAGTAAAACATCCATCAAGATGTTACATGGATACATGATGTCATTTTCACTTAATTTGCTCAGTGTTGCAAACATACCCTAAGTTACCAGATTGACAACATCTGGTACACATCTAAGGAGAAAATTATGACACACATTTAAGGTGATAATTACAGAGTAAAAAGAGGATTGGACACACGTGATCCATGATTCATCTGTAACTCACAAGGAAAGAAAACCAAATAACCATCTGGCTTTTAAATATTTCATGTTAAAAATAAAAGTTGTGAAATTAAACCTATATGTAATACTCAAAATTGTTGATCTTTAGCAGTTTTGAGGGGAAAAAGGATTTTTCTTGAATCCAGTTTTAAGCTATTAGATTTATATGCTTTTGCACAGATGTATTCATAAGAATTGGCAGTATAGTGGTTACATTCTGGCCTCTGATTGCATATCTCATGGCATGTTCTGGGTTTGTAAGAATTTTAAAAAATTTTTAAATTTGAGGGAAGATGGCTTGCATTTTTCCATCATCAAATTATTTATTTTTGTTTCTTTTTACTAAGCCAAATGATCACTATAATTAATCAGGCTAATATTATGCTATAATTAATAATTAGAAACTAAGTAATTTGGTACTAGATTTTGGTAAACTTTCTTTTTACTAATTTATTTGTCTGTAATTGAATTTATTAACAGTGGTACACAATAATTCTGTTTTCAAAGAAATTTGAATTGAATGCATAATTAACAAGGGGAACCCACATATTAATGTTCTTCACACAACACATTAACTAATCACCCCGTGTCATGAACACGCAAATGGTGCTTCTGCATAGGTATTAATAAGTTCTAGAAAAACTTTAATTGTGATTTTCTCAAGAATGCCTGAATAGTGGGTCCTGCAGCTTTGGTAGAGTTTAAGCACGAGTAAATACTACACATCCACAAAATTTTATTGAAATCAGTGATGACAATCTCCTGGGTTTCCCTTGTATATAACTTAACTTGATATGAAATATTCATGATTAAAATAGAAAATGGCAAGAGTAGGCCTATATCTGATTTTTGCTTAAATGTCAATGTAAGTTTAACATGACTGTGATATCTCCAACTTTCAGCTGAATAGAATGTTTCAATTCCTTTTAATTTGTGGTTAGTGTTTGTTTATGTTATTGGCAACTTTGCAAAACATATAATAAAAGTATGATAAGTTGAATGAGAGAGCAATGACAATAAAGAATAAAAATAAACAAGTAAATTACTTTAAAAAATGTGAAAATGAAAGATTTGGTGATAGAGAAATGTAAGCAGTCTTTCCTAAAAATTAAAAGAAATGAAAATAAAATTTTAAAAATTTCTTGGAAAAAAAAATGCAATTTTAACCCAGAACAGCTATAAGATATGCACTCATAGGCCCAAATGCCACCCACTCATGAATATGTTTGCACTAGAGCAGCAGTTTCCAACTTATTTTTATTGCAGAACCCTTCTCACCTTAGTAAAAAATGTTGGAACTATGACAATTTTTAATGATTATAGATTAAACAGCAAATAGAAACACCAAAAACAATTTATTGAAAATGAAAATAAAAAAGAAGATTAATAATGGAAAGCAAGTATTATTACTTAAGTCAAACTGTCATTAATGTAAAGGGTTAAACTTCTTTTCTTTCAATATTTTAAACAGCTCTAGTCCCTGGATTTGTACCTTTGTATGTATCTGCCTTTACAGTCTTCTTGTCACTAGAAACATTTGACTTTCATGCTACATTTTTCTTCAAACTCTTCTCTCAGCGAACACTCCATGATTTTTTAATTTGGGGTATACACAGTACTAAAAGCAGTATAAATTTTTGATATTCACAATATTTTTATATGAAAAATATTTAAAATATCACAAAACAATTGCAATGTAAAACTCTAATAATCTTTGACTGATATGCCTGCTTGTATGCTGTACTGTTTCACTGTAACACACTACAGATGATAAGACATATATTTTGTTTAGTGTTTTTAGAGCTAAAATTCTGAATGACTGGAATAACAATGCAAAGCATTTAGTGGAAATATCTCAAATGTCATACCAATCGAAAAATGTATAACACTATTTTGGTTTGGTTTTTACAAGGAATCACGTGATATGATTATTAAATGGTTGATTCTGATCACTCTATAGTATTTTGTATAAAATAATTCATGTATTGTTATAATCAAAGAAAGTTATATAAATAACTCCACTAACCTGATTACTTTAATTACACCACGTTTTTGGGCTATTATAAAGCTAAGTTAATACTGTATTTACTCGCATATAAGATGAGGTTTTTATTAATTTATCATAGCTTCAAATACCTAGGTCAGGCATGGCCAACATACGGCCTGTCTAATGAATTTATGTGGCCCATGTTCAACTTTTCAATATTAGCTCAATGAAAAATTCTGATGCCTAAAAAAAAAAAAAAAAAAAAAAGAGGTCAACAACTCACTATGCATTTAGAGTTAACCCTCCATTACATAAGTACAGTGTAGAATGCTGATAAAGCATGTTGATGTGAAAAATTGCATCTGAATCTCTTTCTACACTTTAGTCTCTATAGGGTGATACCACAATGAGATCTCGCACCACCTCAAAATCTTCCTAGGGCAGCCTCTGGCTCGGCCCGAGGGAAGAACTGTTGGCCACCCTGACCTAGGTTGTCCTATATGCGCGAGTGAAAGATTCCTTGCATTTTTGCAAATAATTTTTGTGAACTGTGTATTCACATTTTTTACCAGATGCTTACCCTCTTGTATTTAAAAAGAATTATTTTATCTGGGCCATTTGAATCATTCTTGTATATTGAGGAAAAGCAAAGCTTCCGAATTGAATTCCAGATTGAAATTCCAAAATTACATGGGATCACAATATAAGTTTTAATCCATTCCCACGTGAAAGCAGATGATTATTCAGAAATCAAAATTCAGAAAAACGCATAAGTGTAATCTATGGAGAGTGGATTTGAATGTTAAGAATTGGCAATAAAAGGTTTCCAATTGTCTGGCTTTACATTAACAAATTATGTTGTTGATTTTACAAGATTTTTTCTTAAAGTTTAAAATGCCAGTAATTTTTGTGGGACAATGTGTGTATTTACATTTTACATTCATTTGATATTTTACTTGTGATTAAATGAAATAATATTAGAATTGTATTAATAAATCTAATTTTCTTTATTTTGATCTTTAAAGTCACACCTCATCCTATATGCGAGGTCTTCTTATGTGAGTAAATAAGTAATTAGATATGAAGTAATTTATCTAGAGGTAGACTGTTAGGCTATCACCTAATGATAATCTTAATAATTATAATGAATTAATTTTAATTTAGAATTTGAATGACCTGTATGGTTATATCTAAATTAATAGTTCTAGAAGTGGAGATCCAGGTAATATAACTGGCAACACATCTACATGGTAAGAGTTGTGATTTGATACAAGGGCAGATTTTCTTCCCCAGAAATTTCAAAGAACCCTAAACATTCATACAATAATTCACAAGTATAAGAATAAAATTTTTGTGCGTATACAGATATTAAATACTTATACAAACATCTATGAAAGTTTATTTTTAAATTAAAATTATTTATTAAAATGCTGAAGAAGTTATAAAAAAAAATTGTAATTTTCAGATTGTTTACTAAAATAATTTTAGAAATGTAGATCATTAAATTTTTTATATTTTTGTTTTTAGGACTTAATCATAATATTTCTTTAAATTCTCAACTTCGTAATTTTCAAACATCAAGTTGTGTGTTTAGAAAAGATTATTATGAAATATTAGGTGTTTCAAGAAATGCTGATCAAAAAGACATAAAAAAAGCATATTATCAGGTAATTCTCTGAAAATTACTTTTTAATTATATAAAATTTAATATTCATATATGAAAATTTATTGTATTATTTTAATCTTAAAAAGTCTTATTTAACTTGATAATTATGACAAAATCTATACAGTTTATCTATTGTAATGATATAGAATAAGAAATATTTTGCCTATTTGGTATTGTAAGTATTTAATTCTTTTAATATATTGTTAGGAAAACTATATTCAGACATTAGTATATGAATTATAAGTATCAATTTTATGGACAAATATATGTTAAAAGTGATATTCTTTCTCCAAGATTGTTACATTTAAAAGCTAATGAAAGTGCTTGGCAAAATGTGGGACTTTGTGTCAATTATCAGAATAATTTTTAGTCATGACAACTAAATTATGGAAATTACTGTATATATGTAGTGAGATGACAAATTTTTAATTCTACAACTTTTCATAAATTTTAATTACTTACTACCATAATTCAATGTTATAGCTTTTTGTAGATTTTAAATAGAATAATATATTTGTATATTAATTTTTAATATTTAGCTGGCTAAACAATATCATCCTGACAAGAATAAAGGTGACCCAGAAGCTGCAAGAAAATTCCAAGAAGTTTCTGAAGCATATGAGGTATTTAATTTTTGATATTAAATAAATATTTAAATAAATTTCTTAATATTTCTTTCTTTAACTGTTATAGGTTTTGTCTGATGATTCAAAAAGAAGTCAATATGATCATTTTGGAGATTTTGATAATGCTGCAGGAAGTTCTGGATTTCAAGGATTTCATTCTACTGTAGATCCGGAAGAACTTTTTCGAAAAATATTTGGTAATTTTGGATTTAAAAGCAGAGATTTTTCTGATTTTGAATTTGATGAGTCGTCATCCTTTAAGTTTGGTTCCAATCATGAGGTTTGTTGTTATTTTTGCACTTTAATATATATTTTGATACTTTAATGCAATTTATATTTTATAATAATATTGAAAGATTTAATTTTTAGTATTGTGAATATTAAATGATTTTTTAGAATTTAATTTTAGGGCACTATCAAAATAGAATCATATTTTAATGAATTGATATTATTTTATAAAGATGTAATTTTTTATATAATATCAAGCACTACAACAATAATTTTATGTATATATAAATCACAATATGAAAAATTTAACATTATTATATGGAATTTATCATCATTAAATTCAGTGTTCTGTTAATTATAATTCAATATTGCTATTTTTATAGAATCATTGGGAAAAAATCACATTCTAATTTTGTAGAAATTGCCATAAGGAGAATAAGGCGGAGAAAGAATAACTTTTCTTATCTTATTTTGAATTATAAATTTTATGTAACTTTTTTACAAATAGAAAAAAATTGTCTATTCTATCACATCCACATTCTTACCAACAAACAAAAAAAAAGTTTAAGTTTTGGCTTCTTTAAGGATTTGTCTTTATTCTATTAGCATGCACATTTCTGCTAACTTCTCTTAAATTTTGATTTAAATTGGTAGATTTAACTTGTATACAAAGTATGGATTCTGTGAGTTGTATAATGCAAAGACATAAGAAAAGGAGAAGCAATGAGAGCATCAGAATTTCTGAAATACTTAGATTTTTTTTGTTCTAAGAAATGATTATTAATATGTATGTTGTAAATGGAAATTTTAATTTTTAAAACAATGTGATCTACTATTTTAATGTTTATTTTAAATTAGTTTCAGAAATGTTATGAGTAAAAGAGCTAAATGATTTATTAATCTGATAAGATATAATTAGTAGAGTATTTTGATGATATAATTATTTGTATATTATATACTAACATATTTTAGCAAGTCACACTTTGCAGTTAAAAATGTAAATTAATGTTATTACTATTTACAGTACAGTAGAGCATCATTTATCCAAAAGCCGATCAACCGAAATGTTGGTTAACCGAAATAGTCGGACTGTTCTAGTCGGACTGTGTCATGCTGAATTGAACATTCTTGATGCTAGGTTAACTTCCAAAATATAATTTTTTTGTTTTTATATTTTTCAATATATTTATTTTGTTTGTACAAAATAAAGGAATAATTTTTAATGATACAATAGCAACGATTATTATTTTAAAAAATTTACATTAGGCTTAACATCAACAAAAATTCAATGCAAAGCGACACGCAATGGAGAAAAATTTCAACATGGGATAGGTTAATATATTTTTTTCGTACATAATCAGTTACACGAACAACCCCAGTCCCCCATTGATTCGGATAAACAACACTCTACTGTACCTATAAAATGTTCCATTCAACACTTTCTATACTTTTTTCTAACAATATTTTTGTCATGTTTTTGTTTTAATTTAATCTTAAATTATAAGATTTCATTATTTTGATTAAAGATAAAGTATATCATAATTTTTATATAAAATAATATTTTAAAAAATTATATAAAACTATATATGTTTTTAGTTTAAGTCAATGTTTAACATCAACTAAACAGCTTAATAATTTTAGGATTATATTATGTATTACTTTACAAGATAATAATTTTAACAACATTATTTGAAAAATAAAATTATAAAAAACAACTGCTGACATAAAGATGATAAAAGGTATTTCATTCTGCTAATTCAGTTTCCTCAAATAGATATTTCCTGAAATCTGGAAAAAAAATTTTCAGATTTTTATGGACAAATTTTGCTTCCTACAGTGAAATGATTAGTAATATCCTGTAAAAATAATCTTTAATGTAAAAATAGGAAAGCATTTCTAATGTAAACTTTAGTTCTAGAGATTTTGATTTGACTGAAATACAATAGTTTATATAGAGTCAAAAATAAACCAAATTTTTGGCTCAGAGCTTATTAAACAATACCACACAACTTTTTCATAAAACTGTCTGCAAAGTAAGCTCCTTCTGCAGATAAACATTTTTGCCAGAATCTTTAATACTTATGAAAGAAGTCCTGGAAGCCATTCCTTTTTTGATGTCTTCAAGGACCTTTTACCACTGTAGCTCCACTTTCAGCTTTTCATTGGTTATTTCTGGTTACTGAACATCTGAGCAACACAGGCTTAACCCTGCAGAGGGATTTTTATATATATTTCGACAAAGTTATATGTGGAGTATATATATTTTTAAAAAATTTAATATTTTTATTAGAAATGTAATAAATGACTTTTCGTTATGTGTAAGCATAAAATTGCTTGATAGAACGAATCAAACAGGAACACAAGACGAATATACTGATTTCTGAGGATATGCATTTTGGACAACATGTTCCTCATGGTCCTCTTTTAAATTTTACAGCAATTTGGTTACAATTTAAATTTGGTTAAAGCATTATAATAAAATGAAAATTTGGCTATATATGCTAATGTGTACAATAATATGCATAACTTATTGACAATATATGCATTAATATACTAACATACGTTAACATGATAACTTCTTCATCAGAAATTTCTTGTTCATTATCAGAATTTTCTGCACCTTCTTCCACTATATCAGTGTTTCTCAACGGGGGCGATATCGCCCCATGTGGGCGTTTTTCCGTGTTTAGGGGGCAATTAGCAACAATTTATATTTTGGGGGTGAAAAACAATTTTCTGAATGATATAGTAAAACATTATATTAAGAATAATTAGATATTTTATTTGTTATATCATACAATAATTAAACAAATAATATTGTACTAGTCATTAGTCTATTCATTTTCTTAGAATTTGGCGTTAGCCTTGGCCCTGGGCATCAGAATTTTGAAGTGAAGAGGGCGATACTACGTAATGGTTTTATTGAAGGGGGCGACGTTTTGTTAGAGGTTGAGAAACACTGCACTATATCATTTTTATTCACTTTACATTTATTTTCAGATTCAAGAATCAAATTTTTATCAGCTGACTGAAGTAACATCTGCTATATCAACATCATCTCATTATCAATTTGATATGTGATATTTTCCATTTTCAAACAGAAAACCAAAAACATCTAAAAAAACAAAATTATTTAATAACTTGTACAGTCGACCCCCCCTATAACGTACGTTCCTATAATGACAATTCCTATAACGTAGCGAAAAAATTGTAGCAACTTTCGTATAACGTACCTCCTATAACGTCGTTTCGCGACAAGATTGATAGAGTCTGGACCAATAGTGGATGAGCAGCCGAACTACTTTCCTCCGACCCTGCGCCACGCTACGGAGCGGCTAAATTGAGTTTGCTATCGTCTGTTTAGTATTATATATAAATTATATATAAATTAGGTACTGTACATATAATTATATATTAATTATATATAAATTAGGTACTGTATATATAATTATATATTAACTTAATTTATTGTAACTTTATTATAATTATATATATGCTTTCTGCCGCCTGGCAACACGCTACGGAGATTTTAGGCTAGTAAGTTGAGTTTATTATCGTCTGCACAGTATGTAAATTAGGTACCGTAAGTCTAATACAGCACTAATTTTATACATTTCTTGTGAAAGAAACACTTCTTATTCAACGTCCATAAAAATTATTTATATTAATGATGTCTCCAAAGGTCAAGTTATTTTTCCGCCAAAAATTCGTTATCAGAAATTGCGGCCGTCGTTTCGCGTGCTGTTCCGCGATGAAAACCAGCTTTAAGCAACGGCGTAGTCGAACGGTGTAAGTAATCCTACAATTTTTTGTTTATAGCATAGTTTATACAGATTATTCCCAAAAAATTATACGTATTTTGGAAATGTTGAGTGGAATTAGTCTAGAATCGGTTAATTTTATAGAAGAAAGCCTTTCGAACAGCCTTAGTCCGTAAAGTTCCCACCTATCGGGCTGCGATTGGCTCATTCCTACAACGTAATTTTCGGTTAGCGTGGAACGTATCTAAGCGTTATAGGGAGGTCTACTGTAGTAACTCTTATATACAAATTAAGGTAGTTTTGAGAAAAATGTGCAATTTTGCCTAAGAGAGCTGATAAAGCAATGCTAGTTAATCAATGTTGTCAATCCCTTGAGATTAGCTACTCAAAATTGCCAGATCGTATGCTATTTCAAAATAAAAATATTAAAAAAAATTTTAAATGTATCTGTGAGATTAGCCATGTTCTCCAAAGGATTAAATGGGTAAATTAATTTCAGACTTCTTACAACTTGTGCAGGTTTATTATATGATCTTCATATTAATGTGTTGTATAGGAATTGTATAACCTTTGTAATATATATTTAATTATGAATTTAATGTGTGTTGCTTATAAGTGTATTAAGTGATATTGAAAGTTTTATGTTGAAAATTTTATATAGTTGTTTATTAATTTGTAAAATTTTATTATTTTAGGTCATAGTTAATTTAACATTTAAAGAAGCAGCTCGAGGAGTAACTAAAGAAGTATCTATGAATGTTTTGGATACATGTATGAAATGCAAAGGTTTTCGATGTGAACCTGGTTGCAAACCAGTTAGATGTCATTTCTGCAATGGAACTGGAATGGTATGTTGTTATAAAAGTATAAAGAATTAAAATATTTATATATAAGGTTTAAAAAATGATAAAATTTCAGGAATCTGTTAGTATGGGACCATATGTAATGAGAAGTACATGTAGAAACTGTCATGGATCTCGAGTATTCATCAAGAATCCATGTAAAATGTGCAATGGAAAAGGTTCCACTATTCAGAGGAAAAATGTTACCATTCCTGTTCCTCAAGGTAAGTATTTTATTATATACAAAGAGAGTAATATTAAAATTACAAGTTTGTTTTGAGATAAAACACTATGAAAAAAGTGTCAAAATCAGATATTTTTTGCTGAGATAAAGATTTTTTTCATATATTTATGTGGAATGTTGATTTTTTAGTAGAAAAATCAGTGTGTTTAAAATTGCTGCTTTTGTAGTTTAATCTGAGACATTGTATCCATAGACAAACAGTACTGTTAAGAGACAGACTGAATTTTGGTTTATCTTTCTTCTGAACTTTTTTCTTACTATTTATTTTAGCAATAATTTTCTGATATTTAATTAAAATTTTAGTTTATTTTTAATAATTTTTCAGAATTATGAAATCATATGATTGAAATTTATTTTTTTATGGGCTTTAAAATGTTTCTCTAAATTTTTTTATTCTTTCACTGTGTCTCAGCAGTACTATCTATGGATATTCTACTCACTAAAAATGATGTGATGTGGCAGTTGGACGGCAAAGAGATAGGATGTCGAAATTGGTGTCGATCTGTACAGAACGTCAGGATCTGCAATATTATTTAGCACTAACAATCAACAAAATAGAATTTATAAAGTTATAAGCCAATAAGTGTGCGAGTCAAAGAAAATTTTCATAATGTTGAAGAAATTGCAAAGGAAATACGAACAGAAATGTAAGAAACATATATCATTGGAAAGAAAATTTTAAAAGTAATCAGAAAAGCCCAGACTGATACCAAATGATGCAGATCATATAGAGAGTGTAAGCAAATTTAGTACGTCAACTCCAACGCGAATATTTAGAGTGTGCGACTGTCCAAACCAATAGATATTGACTTGGAATGTGATAATCAGCAAGACATGTTAGTTTACATCTTATCCTCCCTCTAATAATCCACAGATGGATTCATGCCTTAAATGATTGTGATTATGTTCCATACACAACTCTCCCAATTATTTTGACCTGTGTCATTTGGTTAACCCATTGCAGTCAGTTGATACTGTGGGGCAGAGACAAAGAACTGTCAGTCAGCTTTACAATATTGTGTACGGGGCATTTTGGAACACATGGAGGACCTCATTCAATTTATGTATTTTTATTTGTTGTATTCTTTGCTGCTGGCCACTTACAGTATGTGGAGATAATAATCCTGCCAATTTTGACAGATTGATGATCTGTGATATGTCTTCTCTCTAACTGCAAGTTTTCATCTTTGGATAGCCCACGGAATTTTGGAAGTATACCGAAATATCATCGTAGAGTTATAATTTTAAAAAACCCTGAATGCATTTTAGCAAAATAAGATTTTTAGTTGTGTATTAATTTTTATAATAGACAATGAAAATAAAAAGTTGTAAAATTGCATATGTGCTTACAAATTGGTGTGATAAACTGTTAATAATAAAAATTATTAGTCTATATTTTATTAATTTACAAAATCATAATTAAATTAAATTTTAATATAATTTAATTTAAATTGTATTAGAATTATCTGACAATAACTCAACAGTAAGAATTATTAATTAATTAATAATATAAAAATTACTAGAAAATGTCAACAGATTATTATATAATGCTACGATTACACACTACCATCTATTCACACCTGGACTGCTAAGCGCTGCCTGTGGGGAGGCAAGCAAGTGGATTTAATAATTATGCTATCTATTCTGAGTCAAGCACTGCTAACAGAACAGTGTTGCCTCTGTTTCTCTCCACAGACTTTACTAGCTTAAGTGGCCCTACTGGGAGTTTAGGCTCCAGCCAGTATTGACCTATGGTTCATTGGAATTATTAAGCTTTTTCACATCAACAAGATGATTAAGAGAGTTTAATAATAATAACAACAATAATACTATCATATTTTTGCTGAATGTCCAGCATGCTGGAAACCCTAGGGTTACTGGCATGCCAGTTAAACTGTGACTAAAATATAAAATTAATCAGATCTAACAAAACTAATTGTTAATTAAATGTTAAAGAAAACATTCTTTGGAGTACAATAAAATAATAACATTGTAATTTGACTGACTTAAAGTCAGGAAGAGAGTTTTTGTTTACAAGACAATAAAACAATTAATGACCTACCTATTGACATTAGTGATAGTATAAGTTAGTCAGTGCAGGCTACACTGACCATCTAACCTGAGTTAAAAATAACACCTTCCTCTCAAATTTCACACAAAGCTGGTGTTAATAAGTGCAAGTGATAATTTACAGCCAGTTTCTTAATTAAATTTAATATGTTTATTTTTCCATTTTTAATCAAATAACAATAAAATACACACAAAAAAGCACTTTTGGAATTCCATGAGTATTTTAGAGTATTTTACATTGTTAGAAAGAAGACAAAATGAAGAAATTAAACATATAATTGTAGTTTTTGATGTAATGCTGACAGTTTCACAGTTTTAGAATAAAAACTCGTTCATTTTTTTAATGACTCTAGAGAGGGGTGTATAACCTCACTTAAACTGGCATTACCACAGAATAAACTGATTTGCTGGTTTTTACCATACAGAAATATCTGATTTTATGGTCTTCCCAGATAGACCAGCAAGCCAGTCATTCCTCAAAAATATAATATAATTATTATTATTGGATATATTTATATATTTAAATTAATATACAAATGTAATTTTAGGTGTAGAAGATGGCCAAACAGTGAGAATGAATATTGGTAGAAAAGAAATATTTATTACATTCAAGGTAAAATATATTATTTCAACAAGAAAGTTTACTTGTAAACATTTAAAATTTACAAAATGATGAAAATTAAAATATTATATAGCATAAATAACAATCCAGTTTATTTGTATGACCAAGTTAAAATAAAATATGGCTGCCAGCATATACCTCCAATAGTGGACACCTCTAAATAACAGACAAACTTCTCGGTTCCAACATTGTCTGTTATTTGGAGATTATACTGTAGTATCTTTCCTGCATGCACATTGAATTGTAATTTAAATAGCATCATCATTGATGATTTGTATTGTGACATGAGACAATCTTTGCACTTATTTATTTTACTAACCTTAAAATAAATAGTCTAATGGATAATCTGGTGGAATATTTAAAAAAATTTATTTCCAAAATTATAAACTATTAAAATTAATTTATGTTTAATATGAATTATAACAATTTATAATACTGTGAAAATTAATAGAAACAAGGCAAAACAAAAATAAAATAAAATGTAATGCATATACAGTACTTTACATTATTTATATTTGAACTTTATTATTTATGTGCATGAGGTTTATATAATGGAATTTATAATTAGTTTATTTTTCATATTTTATTTAAGGGTTTAAACTGTTAAAAAGTTTAAAGAACAAAATTTATATAATAGATTTAATATATAAATTTTATACTTGATTGGAATTTACATAACTTTGTTTCTTATATTATTAATCTTAAAACATATTTAAATCTAGGTTGCTAAAAGTGACTACTATCGAAGAGTAGGATCAGATATACATACAGATGCCAGTATTAATTTGTCACAGGCTCTATTAGGTGGGGTTATCCACATATCTGGATTATATGAAGAAATTCCACTTCAAGTAAGTAAATTGATAAATAAAAACACTTTTGTTGATCATTTTGACTAGTATAAGTAATTTACAGTGAAATTTTTTTTTTTTTCAAATTATATTCATACTTTTTAATAATTTTTATTCTTTGATAAAAATAGATTCCAGCTGGAACATCATCTCATACCCGTATATTTTTGAAAGGAAAAGGAATGAAAAGAGTAAATTCTCCAGGATATGGTGATCATTATGTTCATATTAAAGTAAAAGTTCCTATGTAAGTCGAAATTTATTCAGAATATTTTTGTGGGTATAAAAATATATTCAATTATAAGTTTACCTTAAAGATAAACAAAATTACTTTGAATAAGTACAAATTTGTTAAACTTTGCTAAAATTTGGTGGAGAAAAATCTTGTAATGCATTTTGATAAAATCTTATACAAATTATACATCTCATTAGGAAGATAAATATAATTATGTAACTTCCACATTATGCATATTCCACTCTGATAACAAAAGAAATTAAATTGGTCAAGAATAATATACGGATATCCCTCATATAACATAGTAGTTACATTCTGAAAAATTGTCATGTTATGCAAATCCATGCTACACGAAATAAAGGACCAATGCAAAACATAGGGTTGCATTCCAAAAGTTGAGAAAAAAGTTTGCCATTCTTTTTCATTACTAAGAGAAATATGTTTATTTAAGCAGTCAATAATTAACTAACAATCACAATTAAGAATGCTGTATTAACTGTTAACATTACAGTAGAGTAGTGCTTTCCAATTGCCCTCCTGTGGGGCCCATGCCCCACAGGAGGGCAATTGGATTGTTAAGGGGAGAAATTCGAAAATGGACTCGTCCAGAGTTTAAGTTAAATAAGAATTTTAGAAAGACTTAGGTGGGGCATAGCACAAAAAAAGGTTGAGAAGCACTGCAGTAGAGCATCAATTATCTGAATATCAGTCAACTGAAACATCGGTTAACTGAAAGTGTTCCAGTTGGCAAATTTAAATTTCCATTAGTGCTGTGACACTCCAACATTTGGCTGTGCAACTTGGGCTACTCCAATATTATTTTTGTTGGTGTGTGTGTTTTAGCTGGCAGCACTGGCACAATCATGAGAGGGTACTTAGGATGCGCCAGGATTTAAACAAATTTCAACACAGGATAGGTTAATATAATTTTTTGTACATAATCGGTTATCTGAAAAATTGATTATCCGAACAACCCTAATCCTGAATTGTTTCAGATAATCAATGCTCTACTGTAATTAATATTAGTTAAATGAAGACATTTTTTTTTACAAAGTATTGTCATCATATGAGCTTAATCAGAAATATCAACAAAGTATTCATTGTTTTTAATTTTTACCATAAAAATTTTTTAAATATGACAAAATAAAAATATGTTGTTAATTGAAAATTTGTTCTAGCAAGTCGTGTTCATTCATTCTAGGACTGAGCAATTTTTATGTTCCCCATAATTTGTGTTCGAATACTGAATTGTTTGAATTGGGAACAATTTGAGTACCAAGATATTAATACCATTGTATTTTTTCATCATTTCTATGAATGATTACATAGCTATAGTTAAAAAAAAGTTAATAATACTTATCTAAAAATGTTTAAATAAACTTTACTAAATACAAAGATTAATCTAAAAAAATAAAACAGTGACAATCTTAAAGGCTAAAATCTGAAAGCAAAGTTCACAACACCTGGTTGATAGGAATAATAGGACAAGGAAGAAAAAAATTGCAATATCAGTTTTCATTAAATCTGACGAAAGGCATAAAACATATTGAAAATTTCAATATTCTAAAATCCATGGGCAAATTTGAGACAACACACGATTACTTGAATAAAAAGTATCAAATAAAGGAGTTTGCACTTAAAAGTTATGAAATTTTGTATGGAGGATTTCCAAAATCATGTTGTAGAACTGCCATGTTGTATGAGGGATACTTATATTTATAGCATTGATCAAATCAGTTGTTTGTTTTAAACTGGTCACAGTTCATTTAATATATTATTTTAAATTTATATTTATGTTGAAGTACATATGTTTACTAGAAGAATTTTAATTGATTTCATGTTTATAATGCAGAGTGGGAAAGAAAGTCACTTAATACCCCTGCTACAGAATATAGAATTACTCAAAGAATGACATTGAGCACATCATGTAACATATGTAAGTCTGTAACTGTTTGAGGTAGGTAAATAAAATCTTTCAGAAATCAATTCCTTGTGAAATTCTGACCCAAAATGATGTGTCACGACTCCTTCCCATTTACAGTTTTGCAGTTGCATTCAATTTGTTTTCAGAAAGTTTGGATGGTACAATATGGTACCATCAAGATGGCAGCCCTGCATGTAATACACATCAATCTGTTTCCTCTTTGGTCTAATATATTTCTGACATGAGCAAATTAACTTTGGGTACATTCTATATTCTGTAGCAGAAGTGACTTTCTTTTCCCTGTAGATAAAATCATCAAAAAATAGTCAACAAAAATCTTAATTTGGGTAAATGAAAATATTTTAAAATTATCAATTTTTCTTTATTCAAATTTTAAAAATTACTGTGATAATGGTCTAACCAAATTTTATTTTACTTAAATATCTGTATAGTTAATTTTGTGTTCTTTCTATAAATTACAGTTTTAGAAGTATAAAATATAATATACAAGTTGTCTGCATATATAACAAATAACAGGACAATAAAAATATTAGTGTATAAATTGATGAAAACTATTCATGTGTTTTTCACTGATTCATAATCCTCAGTTGTTCACTTTCTATATTTACAATAATCCCATAAAATATATTAATTCTTATAATGACCTCAGGGTCATTTTTTATCCTAAACTTTTAAAGGACATGTTGATAAGATTATTAAATCTCTAACTATTCATTGTGGAATTCTTTGGCATTTTTGCAAAACTTTCCTCAAAAACAGTCTTACGATCCATTTATTTTGCCAATATTCAGTCACTATTCAATTATTGTCTGTCAATATGGGCTATGGCTGTCTCTTCCTATTTACAAAAAGTATTTCTTATTTTAAATAAGCTCTCTAATCTTACTTTTATCCCTAATGCTAAAGTTGCTAGGTCCAGATTTGGAATTCCCAGTTTTACCAAATGTATCAAATACTTTGACCATTTACTTTTATACAAAATTCTTGTATGGTTCCATTTGTTCTGATTGGCTGTGCCTAAGAGTTCTGTCATGAGTTACCCATAGCCAAACTTTTTTTTTCCCCATCTTTTAGGCTTTCTGTTTCCTTCAGATCATTTTTCTGTTGGTCTGTTCAAAATATGGACTATGTGGAACAATATCTACATGAATATTTTCTACATTTTAAACACAAATGTGTTTAAAATGTACTTTATATATTATAATCTTTTGTTTTTATTTATGTATATTTTTTCATGTATATTGATTTTTATTCTTTATTTGTATTTAATATTTTATTACAGGCATTATTTTTGGGGAGGATATCAATCCTCTTGTAATGTTTCCTTTTGTATATGTGATAAAAAAGGATTATATAGATTATATAATGTCATTCCAAAGTATACATATACAGTGGAACCTCTATATTCGTAATATTTGATATTTGTCACATTTTGATGACTTTTTTGTTTTTCCATATTTGTCATCCCAACACCAGAAGTGGCACTACAATCAGCTCGTGCCAATCAGCTAGCCATAGTTAAACAGTCTGCTTTGTGCAGTCGTCGTGTATATTGTTGAGTTATTGAAAAATAATCAATATGAGAAACAAAGTTCCAATTGCACCAAAGTGGCACTCAAATGTTGCTATAGTCAACCAAAATAAATACATTCAATGATAATGTAATTGCCTACTTCAGAAAAGTTTTAAAAAGCAGACAAAAACACACAACACTGGACAAGTTCTATATTAAATCGAGTGTTACTGAATTATTGGCAAAACAGACCTCATGATCAAAATTGGAATTGCCTGATGTTTTAATTGATATGTCTTCTTCTAAATAATAATATTGTTCTTCCCCTTCTGCCACTAATCTTTATTGTATTAAATAAATACAGTAAAGTTTTAAACAACATAATTTTTAATCTTCTACCTTTTTTCAGGATGGGAAAAGATTAATTGAATATCAGTTATTTATTATGAGAATAATTGTTTTTATATTTGTCATATTCCATATTCGTTAGGTCCTTGGAAACAGATTAATGATGAATATAGAGGTTCCACTGTATTCATCTTTGATAAAATTGCAAAATATTCAATAGGCAAATAGATTTCTTGTAATGCTTTAATGTTATTTGGGGAGCATGGGCAAGATGATTGGGTATTGCCAGAATGAAGTGCAAATTTCAAACATAAGAAATAACCAAAATGTTATAAATAGGATGAGTTTTTATTCTCTAAATCATGCTGTATTTATAATTCTAAAACGTTTTTTGATGTATCTATACTTTGATTCATCATGAATTCTATATATCAATGAGTAAGAAAATTTAAGGAAAAATTTTGTTCACATTTGTATATACATATTCAATATTTATTTATTTATGCTGTATTTGAAACATAGCAAATTAAAATGTTTATATTTTCATTAACTTTTTATATTTTGAAACCATAACTAAATATTTGATTATTTATTGTAATTAGAGATGAGATAACTAAATTTAAAAAATATATTTTCCTGTTTTGATAAAGGAAATAAACACATTATATTTGTGTGTTTAATACATACATATTCATCAGCATCAGAAAGCAAGTATGAAGTATTTTCATTTTTAAAAAATTATTGTATTTTTATTATATCAATATTTTCTTTATTGCTGTATTGCATTTTTACAATTCTGAAAATAAAATCTCAAAAAATGGCTCATGTTAAAACATAATTAAATTTTTACATGCTTAGTTCAGCTAAACTTCATTGAAAATTTAATTTGCTTTTCAAGTTTTAAAAAAGTATAAATCCATGTGCAATTTTATTTATTATTACCTGTAAGACAAATCTGTTAACCAAAAAAGTTTAATTTTCAAGTAAATTAAGAATTATGTTAGATAATTATATCATATTATATGGCTGTGTGCTGTAAACTATAATATTTGTATTTAAAGATATTTTTTTCTTGAAGGAACTTGAATGAAAAACAAAAAGCATTGGCAATAGCTTTTGCTGAAATGGAAGAAACTGATGGAACTGTCAATGGACTAGCACATACGACACGTGGTAAATTTATATTTAATATAATGGCCTAAAAAATTTTTCTTCCTCCTGTCTATAATAAAATTAATTTTTCTAGGTAATTTAGCAATAGAAGATGCTTCTGGATTGGTTCATCAAATTCGATCAGTTCTTTCTAACTCGGATGAAGATGAAACTTTAGATAAAAAAGTAGCGGATAAAGATGGAGAGAAAATTAGTTTAAAGTAATATATTGTAAATTAATAATAGTGTTTATCATTTATTGTGTGAGCAGTCTTAAAATATGTATATATCCTGTAAACTTAGAGATATTAAAATCTAAACTTTTATATAATTTTTTGATGCTCTGTTATGTATTATTAGAATTCAACATTACAGCATAAAGACATCATGAAATTATTAATTTGTTAGAGTAAATAAATATTTAAAGAATTTTGACAGTTGCAAGACAAAATAAAACCTTTTTAATAATTTCATATATTTTTTTGTTTTATAAATCAGTTAAGAATTACATCCATTAGCAATACAACAAACTATATTTGTGCAATTGTATTTTCAATAATTGTTTTCAAAGCTAAAATTTGCTTAATTGAAGGATTAACAAATATCTTATAATGAAACAACAGATAGATATTTTAAACAATTTTTAATGCTTTTACAGCAATCATATGGTTGATAATTTAGTGCACATACTCTATTATACATAGTGCTAGGCTGTAAACAATCTGCATAAGTAAGTGTTGTATCAGATTATCTCATGTATGGTCACATTTGGAAACTTGCATCATGGCATGAATGTTGAGCAATTGTCCTGTACAAATGTTTTGGGTAAGATTTTGTTTTTATAATTGGGCCTAAACAATACCTTAGAGCAGGGGTCACCAAACTACGGCCAGTGAGGTCGGCTCATCTGGCCCTCTGCCACACTGTGCCACAAATGAGTTAAAATATAATTATTTATATGGATATATCATAGATTGTAGATAAACTTACATTTACTATGTAGAAAAAATTAAAATAAGTAAAAATGCTAGTAGTAGTCTAATCTGATTTTTGCATCTTACAGTGAAATAAAAAATTTGGTGACATTTTGCGACTTTGAATATCAGAGCACTTTGTGTAAGTACCTGCAATGAAGTTTCTAACAAAAATGATTATGAATTTGCTGCAGCAATCGTGTTTGTATATTGGTAAATAAATATGCTGGTTATCTTTCAGTGTATTATATTGAACAAAATGGTTATGTGGCCTGCTGTGAAAAAATTTTGGTGACCCCTGCCTTAGAGCTTAGACTAATACTGTATTTGTGTTGGCTAATTCTTGCTTTTGGATAAATACTTAACTGTTAAATATTGCTGTGCCAAAGGCTGTGGACTAGGATAGATGGAAGTCCAAATAGAGATGTGCGAGGTCCTGAACGGAAATTGAAATTATATATGTTTTGGACGACAAATATCTGATGGGACAGTTAAGCTCTCACCTTTCAAAATTAAAACAAAGCAAAACTTAAAATCTCAAACAATAAAAGTTCTTATCATCAAAATGGAAAACAATTCTAGAATTATGGTGGAGAGTTCCAAAGTTTGGAGGAATTTTAGATGTTTGGGATCAGGTTAAGTGTCAATAACAATCTCTCCCATGCCCAGAGAGGTTTCAAATTGTCACTGGGAGACGAGGGAAGACCAATCAGAACACAGAATAGAGGAGAGAAACCTATAAAAATGCAGTCCAAGGACATGACATTCTTTGCTCCAAAAATTTGTTCTTCCTCCAAGATCATCTGTTTGTTCTCCAAGAACTGTTATATACAAAGCAGCAAACCCCGGGGCTGTCAATCTTGCAGACTGTCAATGAAGGACCAAGTGAGGACTTTACTGGACTCTCTTCTTCAGAATTGTAGTGACAAGGATATAGAAACTTTTGTAAGAAAACTTTCAATATTTCATTAAATGAGAAAAAGTGAATGGTAAGCCTATCTTAGTGTGTATTTCACACCCTTGCATGATAATCACCTCCTCTCAAGTGTCCCAACAATCGTACACAGTTGGCAAACCTTACAAGTTAGATAGCCAGGTAGCCAAGAGTTTAAGGTGGCAGTCTACTGCTCTGGGGGACTTGGGATTAAATCTAAATGGGTTGAAAAACTCAAGGAATTTCTTGGGAGGGTAGTCCATCAAAATATGTTGGGCCCTGTCCCTCATCATGACCATCTTAATTTTATTAAAATGGAACAGTAGATCTGATGACACAAAAACATTTCAAAGATGACTTTATATTTATGTAGCAAAGTGAGTTTTGTTAATTGTTCTTTAGTGTGAAGGTTTTATGAGGCTGACATTTGTAAGCATTAGATTATTTCACATAAAAGTTTTTAATTCATATTCAACAGTTCAAATTAAATATAAGAATAAAAAAACATTCAAATTACTTGAAATCTTTAATAAGCCATAGTTTGGGTATATTAATTTTGATATTCAATTTTTTTATTTTCAGATCTGTTATATAAAAAACAAATACAAAACTAACAACAGTATATGACGTATATTTATATAAACTTGCCTAATCTTAGATGTAGATAGAAGTTTTTCATTAAATGGTTTATACAAAAATTACTTTTAGCAGTTTATTTTCATTGTTATTAGTGAGGTTGCAGCCGAAGTTTTCAATGTGAAAACGTGAATGTTGGACATTCAGTGCCGCATTCCTGTAAGTCTAGATGTTTGACAATGGCGTTTGGAACGTCGAGCATGATTCCACTGACATTCCAAATGCCATTGTCAAATGTCTAGGCTTACAGGAAGGCAGCTCTGAATGTCCGACATTCGTGTTTTTGCTTTTAAAACTTCAGCCACCTCCTCACTATTGTACGAAATATTTTCATTTACTGTAGTAAATTTCTGAGGATATTTTTGAGTAAAAATAGGTTGAGTAATCAGAAATAATTAAGGGCTTCCTTTTGAAATCTCTTTTTATAACGTTAACTATAATGACAATACAACAATGCAGAAATTTCAAAGTTTACTGAATAACACATTATTAATTTAATCAGGAATTTATTAAAATGCACTTGTGCACACTTCACCTAACCTAACTATTATAGAAATATAATGATGATAACTGACTTAATAATAAATTAAATTTTAAAGTTCAATTATAAATTTTGAAAATTTTTATTTTTATTACATAAACACAAACTTTAAGCATAATAATTCAAATTTGCTTTCTTTTTTGCCTGAACTTCAAGAATAGCATCCATGAAATCTTCATGAGTGACAACCGTTGCTTCTCTTCTCAAAGCAATCATTCCTGCCTCTACACATACTGCCTTGCATTGTGCGCCATTAAAATCATCTGTGCATCTTGCCAACTCCTCAAAATTAACATCGGGATCAATATTCATTTTACGAGAGTGAATTTGCATGATGCGAGCTCTAGCTTCTTCATTTGGATGGGGAAATTCAATTTTACGATCCAGTCTTCCTGAACGTAACAGAGCAGGGTCAAGGATGTCAACTCTATTAGTTGCTGCAATGACTTTAATATCTGTTTGAGAGCTGAAGCCATCTAACTGGTTTAAAAGTTCTAACATGGTTCTTTGAACTTCTCTGTCTCCAGCTTTTTCACTGTCAAATCTTTTTGTACCAATAGCATCTAATTCATCAATAAAAATAATTGCAGGAGCTTTCTCTTTTGCTAAAGCAAATGCATCTCTTACTAATTTAGCACCATCACCAATAAACATCTGGACAAGTTGTGGTCCAGCTAATTTTAAAAATGTAGACTTAGTTTGTGCTGCACATGCCCTTGCCATTAATGTTTTTCCAGTACCAGGTGGTCCATACAAAAGTACACCTTTTGGAGGCTGAATTCCTAAATTCTCAAATTTCTCTTTGTGTGTCATTGGTAATACAACAGCTTCAATTAATTCTTGAATTTGTTTATCTAAACCACCAATATCACTGTACTGTTCTGTAGGACGTTCATCCACTTCCATTGCTTTTACGCGGGAATCATATTCTTGAGGCAAGGTTTCTAAAATAAGGTAAGAATCTTTGTTTACTCCTACTAGATCTCCTGGTTTTAATTTCTCAGCATCAACCAATCCAATGACAGGTAAAAAATAGGTCTGTCTGGTTGATGTTTTGATTACAGCACATTTTCCTTTACGCTGACTATCAAGATCTACATTTGCTCCATCTTCTTCTGCAAGTTCTTGTGGATCAACATCTAGAAGCTCTATTACATTTGATACAAGATAGGGCAAAGTTTTATTAACCTTAATTTTTTCATTGTTTTCCCGAATTTTTTCCTTTTGAGCTTGAAGTTCATGAGTTATTCTCATGACTTCACTTTTCATAATTTTTATTTCATTATCTAATAATCGAGTGCGACTTATAATTTCATCCGTAGACATACGAAGTACTTCTTCCCCCATAGAATCTTCTCCATCATTCCATATTGTTTGATCTTCTAAAGGAACAGACATGTTCAATCTGAAAAATTAATGTAGATTTTTAATATGAAACATTATATTTATGAGCTCTTTTAATAAAATTATATAATTTTAATTGAAAAACAAAATTTTCAACTTATACATTTCAACTTATACATTTTAATACATTGCTTATCATTTATAATATGAAAAAAAATGATAAAATCTACTTTAGAAAGTCTGGTTATATTTATTTATAAATCTCTTTTACAAAATTTATTCTAAAATCTAAAAATAAAAAAATTACTAATGTTTTAAAATTACCATATGATTTATGATATTGTATGACTCAGATATAACAAGAACATGTAGGTGGAGAATATGAGCATTTAAAATTTGGTGCTGAATAACAATACTGTTGAATGTAAAAATAAATAATAAAATCTTAATACTAAAAATAAAACTTTTAAATCAACAGATTTATTAAAAATCTAATGTTTTCAATTGACTTGATCAGTCATCTTCAGGTTTAGAAACACACAACTTTAAATTTTCTGTTTCTGAACCTGAAGATGACTGATAAAGGCAAAAACTAATGTTTTTATTTAACTTGCTTTGTATCAAAAATGCACGGTAAATTCAACCTTTACTTAATGTAAATTTTAAATCATACTATCAGCAGAGAACATTTCCGGACTATTTTTTACATATTAAGCAGAGATGAACCTAAAAACTAAAGATAAACACTATGAAATGTTCTACTAGTGTTAGAAGGATGAATAATGAAGACTTTTTGTATTTCTTTTACATATGAATTTATTTAACAAAATTTGATTTGCTGTTCTTGAAATATTTGTCTTTAACCATTTCATGATCAGCTTTTGTCACTAACAGACTACAATGCAACTGCTAAATTAACTTATTAATTACAAATAAAACATCACTATTAAATCAACCTACGTCATCTTCCAGTTAATACATAATATACATTTCCAAATACATCATAAGCACATTATGACTATGGTGGGCTTATAAGTGATTTCATATCATATGCCCATATGATATGAAATCACTTATAATGCAAAGATTGATTTCCAATTTCATATTTGATAGAAATCTTTACTTTTACTTCTAAAAATTGTCCTTTATAAGATTATATCATATTTGCTGCAATACATAAATTTAAACATATAATATAATGCAAGCTCATTTATAATATGAACTAAATTTCTGAATCCTCATCACCTATATTACATATCTACATATAAGTCTGTAATGTATAATAAAATAAACAATTACTAGTTTTCAATTGTTAAATGGTATACAGTAAAATATGGTTAAAAAAATAAAAAAACCCCCCAAAAAAAAAATTTCCAGTTTTGGTCTAACATGGTTCAAGAATTTCAGAAATCCCGTACAAAATTTCACAACTTCAAGTGTAAACTCTGTTATTAAATATTTTTTTTTATTCAAGTAATGATGAATGTTGTCTCAAATTTGCCCACAGATTTGAGAATATTAAATTTTTTGTATATTTCTTTTGTGCTTTTCATCAGGTTTACTTTAATGAAAACAGATAGTGCAATTTTTTCTTTCCTCACCCTAGCTTTCTTATCAACCAAGTGTTGTCATTGTTGCTTTCAGACTGTCACTGTGTTTTGTTTCTATAGATTAATCGTCATATTTAGTAAAATTTATTTAACATATTTAGGTAAGTTTTATTAAGCTTTTTTTTTTAACAGTAGATAAGTAATCATTTGTAAAAATGACAAATGAAATACGGCAGTATCTTGGTACTCAAACTGTTTTCAATTCAAACAATTCAGTATTCAAACATAAATTCTGGGGGGAAAAAACCACCCAGTACTTGACTGAACAAATGCTACCTGCTACAATAAATTTTCAATTAATATTTTTAATTGGTTGTCCATAAAAATTTTTTATGATAAAAATAAAAGATATGAAAATGTTGCTGATATTTCTGATCAAGATCAACAAAAAAGCTCAGATGACAATACTTTGTAGAAAGAAAAGCACTCATTTAACTAAAATTAATATTAATACACAATACATAATTGTGATTTGTGACTTTTAATTGTGATTGTTAGTTAATTATTTGTCTTAGTAATAAAAAACAATAGTATACTTTTATTAACTTTTGGAACTTAACTCCATGATTTGCATTGGTCCTTTGTTTCGTATAGCATGTATTCATATAACATGGCACTTTTGCGGAATGTAAACTGTGTTATATAAGGGATACACATATTTTCATTTCAATACTAGCTAATATCTTAGAGAAAGTAATAAAAATATATTTGTTATAGATAATTATAACAGTTTTCTGTAATTTTTTCAAGAATGACAGAGAACTGTTTATAATGAAAGGCTGCGTTTTTTTATGCAGNGCACTCATTTAACTAAAATTAATATTAATACACAATACATAATTGTGATTTGTGACTTTTAATTGTGATTGTTAGTTAATTATTTGTCTTAGTAATAAAAAACAATAGTATACTTTTATTAACTTTTGGAACTTAACTCCATGATTTGCATTGGTCCTTTGTTTCGTATAGCATGTATTCATATAACATGGCACTTTTGCGGAATGTAAACTGTGTTATATAAGGGATACACATATTTTCATTTCAATACTAGCTAATATCTTAGAGAAAGTAATAAAAATATATTTGTTATAGATAATTATAACAGTTTTCTGTAATTTTTTCAAGAATGACAGAGAACTGTTTATAATGAAAGGCTGCGTTTTTTTATGCAGCGCTCGAGAAGCGCTTTACAGAGAACACACTGAAACTTGTTTCTAATTGGTCAACACTGCTCGTGACGTCATTTCGCTACACTCTCGCTACATAAAGAAACGCGGGGTAAAACTNAAGCGCTTTACAGAGAACACACTGAAACTTGTTTCTAATTGGTCAACACTGCTCGTGACGTCATTTCGCTACACTCTCGCTACATAAAGAAACGCGGGGAAAAAGAAAATATTTGATTTTTTGAAATAGATGTTGAAAGATTTGTTCATGTAGATAAAGCAAGAAAAACTATCTTTCATTTTACTTTAATAAAACAAAAACAATATAACAACAAAAGGCAAGCACTGTCAGTAAATGGATTTATCATCAGACCAAAGATAAAACAAAAAAATGGAATCAAGTAAATATATTTTGGAATATTAATGGAACATACAGTAAACTTAAAACTAAAATGTAACAGAACATAGTAGTGTGTTAATACAGTAGAGCCTCGAAAACTCGGCACTCCAGATAACTCGGCCACACCCTGGCAGGGCAAAAAAAATCCTTAGTTAATTAATTTTCATGATAAAGACAGCTTTATGCCTCATAAAGTATTTTTCTGAGGTCTGTCTTATCAGGTAAATTACTGTACAGTGTATTCATTAATTTTCATTTTCATGTAGTAAAGGCTCTATGCCTTCATAAAGGACGTACTTTTCCTTTGTTTAAGGGTATTTGGGCAGTTTATTCTCTGTTGTATTCTCAAGTAAACAATACATACAAGTACAGTACCGTATTTTCTGAGGAAACACTCACACTTATTTTTTTTAACCCCATTCCCGATAACCCGGCATTTTCACAAACTCGGCCACCCTTCGGTCCACATTAGGCCGAGTTTTTGAGGCTCTACTGTAATACAAAATTAAACTTTATTTGTTAAAAATTTAACAGATGATTGTTTTAGAAGTTAAATAGAAAAATTAAAATTCATGTAGGCCTACTTAATTCTATTTATTGTTCTAACTTTCGCCTATGATAAATTCATTTACCAAAAATGCTTGCCTTTTTACATAGTGTTTTTGTTTATCAAAGTACAGTCAAACCTCATTTATCTGGATTCCATTCATCCAGATTTTCAGACTGGTTTGAATAGTTTTCTTTTTAAATTTTAATACATTTTGTAGAAAAATTATTTTTACAATGTGAGATTATTGAAACATTATTTACAACCTTAATATGTACCTATATAGCAATCTCACATTTGCAAGGATGAAATTATATATTGTTTTTTATGTACCAAGTAATTTTTATGTTCCTATTGTTTACAAATCAGAAAAGCATGCAAGTTTATTTTCAATCATTAAAAGTATCAAAAGTATTCTCAGGATGGAATTTTAGAGACTTTTATTTCAATATCTCAGTAATTTTGGTTTATCCAGTTTAATTAATCCATATCAGGGTCTGGTCCCATTTGATCCTGATAAATGAAATTTGACTAACACCAAAAGACAGTTCTTCCTGCTTTAGCTATTGTAATTTCTTGGTATATCAATCTTTTCTTATTATAGATTTGTTCATTTTTTCATATCTCAAAATATTGATAAGAATCATAATTTCACAATAAAAATTCCAATGAGAGAAACTGGCAAAATCAATTTCTTGTTCATTTGCTTTATAAAAATGTACATTTAGTATATATTCTTTCCTGTTTTCTATCTCATAGATGAATACTGACTACTAAAATTACATCATCATCATTAACAACAAATTATTTTTATATTCTATAGCTAAATTCTTTCATTTGGTGCAAATAAAAATATAAAATGATTGCTAAATTTGCTACAAAAAGTTACCAATTAAGATTTGAGAATAATCATTATAGTAACATGCTTTTAATTTGCAAAACAATACAATAGCACCTAAATATCATAGTTTCATCACACTTTTATAGATCACCTGAACCAATGATATTCATCTCCCATACAACTCCAAAGTTTATATTATAGCTTACTCAACTAACTCATTTAAGGTTTGTCAATTGCTTTTAGTTGGTATAATAGAATTGAATTATTTTCTAGAAGACAGTTCTTTACAGAATGTAATAAAGCCCATGACAAAATTTCAATTAGGACCAAGAACCATTTTTAAAGAAAAATTAATAGAAATATATTTATTAATAAAAATTAATAGAAAAATATACAATATGTTAATATTGTAATAATAAAAATCTATTAATAAAAATTAATAGAAAAATATACAATATGTTTATATTGTATATTTTTGTAAATTTTTCTTCAATTAA